TAAACAGGTGATTTCACTTCAACAAGTGTCTCATTTAGTTTACCCACATTTTCGGATTTCAAGTCATTCAGATCACCTCGAGGACTGTTGATATTGATACTAGCTGCATACACCAGTCGATGGTCCCAAACATAAGATTGGAAGAGTAGCTGTCTTCGCAATCGGTTGATCTCAAAAATATCAACAACGGGGCATTAAGCACTTCTGAAAATAATAGCTCAGCCTGGCTAACAACCTCATTCACTTCATTTTGTATCCACTCCTGAGTCTCATATTTGAAAACAAGGTTGGGAGGAGGAAGGTAGACGGAGTGGACATTGATTGATGCATAGCGGAAGCAGGCAACCATTTTGGCAAAGCCATAAAAACGAAGACAGTCTCGATGCAGCAGCAATCGCATGTTGGTTTGGAAGCTGTTTGTGTTGAGATAAAACAAGAAACAGAACAGCAGGTGCACAAACTGCTTTGACAGCAACATCCACGAAGAGGAATTCACATTGACTGTTGGTGTTGCTAGTGACACCATAAACTCACAGCTTCAGCAAAGATCACATCAACAACAGATTGCTAGTTGACTATCTTCAACCAAGTTTGCAGCAACTAACAGTAGCTATTGGTGTGGAGAAGACAGCAGTAGCAACAACTTTTAGTTTTGTAACAGCAACAGATTGCAAGTCTTAGTAACAGATTTGAAACAGCAGCATGTTGATCCAATACAGTGCTCACAACAGTCTGTGCAGATTGAAGAAACAGCAACTACGCAGCAGACTTACGTGTGATTTTATCACAGTTTTATCAGCTTAACCACAGTTTTATCAACTTCATTATAAACTGTGTTGTGTTTGTGATAAGCAACAGATTTGATGTAACAGTTTCTGTCTTGAGCAACAGATTTATTAGTATTTGCTGACTTTTGCTAAAACAGGTTCATAGTTACTAACATCTGTGAAAGCATTATTTGCAGTTTGTGGTTTAAAGTGTTGTCTGATCTAAGTACACATCAAGAATTGAAACAGCAGCCAAACAGTTCAGGTTGATATAGCAGCAGGAAGTGTGCAGGCTTGTATTTTTTTGTTACTACATTTGCTTGTTGTCTGATCTTAGAACACAGTTTTTGTTACTACATTTGGTGTTGACTACTACATTTGCTACTTTCTGTGTAGACTGAAACAGCAACAAGAACAATAGCAACTGTTTGTGTTTGAAAGCACTGTTACACAGTTACACAGATAGATTGATCTAAGTTTGAGCTTGTGATTTAAAGCAGAGTTCAAGTGTAACAGACAGCAAACATCAACAGCAGCGTGCAGGTTCTTGAAAGAAGATTTGGTTTTGAAGCATACTAGAACAAGTCACTGTAGCCCAAGTGCAGAACTGATAATCGAAGCATACAAGTGGATTTTTAGATAGATTTTCGAGAGCAGATCGATCATTTTTTTTAAAAGTGTGATATCTGTATTGTCAAGAGTTGATACTGTGTGATTTGGACTTAGACTCAAATTTTTGGACTCGGTTTATTGTTTTTAGACTGTTTTTAGTTTCTTAGTTTGTTTGTGTTTCGTTTTTATTTTGGATCATTGTATATTTGTTTGTGCGTGTGTTTTTCAGTGTTTGTGTTTTTCTGTTCTTTTTGAGCTTAACTGTTCGTATTTTTTTTATCTGATTTCACTGCATAGATCCTTAACTGATCATTTTTTTTTAAAATGGCAGATATTCTAAAGAAGGAGAATCAAGAGTTGCGAGAGAAGATTGTTCAGTTAGAAACGAATTATGTGGTTCTTAGAGATCATTCCATAAATATACATACCAAAAATTGTCTTAATGAGGATCATATCAAAACATTAAAGACGAAGAGTGAACGAATTACGAAGGAATTTGAACATAAGATCGAAACAATTGAAAACAATCGGCGTTTAGATCGGAAAAGTTATAATGATGAATTGGAAAAGTGGATCTCGTCTAATGCTGATTTGTCAACTAAACTTGAATTAGTTAAGACTGCACTAATTGCTGAAAGACATTCTCCAAGCAACAATTCAGATACAAAGGACTTAACTGACAAGTTCCACAAGACTGTGAATGAACTGACTGAGTTTAAAAGATTATTTGAATTAGAGAAGGAAAAGGTTTTAAAGACTGAAAAGTTTTTAAAAGATGAAAGGAAAGAGTTAGAGATAGAAAGGAAGAGGATTATGGAAGTTAAAAGTAAGTTTGAAGCTGAAAGAGAATCTTATGAGAATAAGATTAACTCTCTCGAGCTGAACGCCACTATGCTTCTAAAGCAAATCTCGGATTTTGAGCAGCTTGTTGTTTTGGAAAGAGCGAAACATAATAAAGAAAAGACAGACATCTCCGAAGACTGTCATAGCCAGCTCCAGAAACTGTCTATAAGCATCGATCTAAAGCAAAAGGCTTTGGACGAAGAGAAAAAGCAATTTGCTACGGAGAAAAGAAATACTTCAAAGAAGTATACAGCAATTGCAAAAGAGCTTACTGAGAAGAGGAAATGGCTTGACATCGCTTTGGAGTATGACAAAAGCAGCTCAGATGAAGAGAAGAGAGAGT